ATCACTCTGAAAAGTGGCCATTATTGCCTGATTTAAGACTTCCTCATCAGAAGAAATGTCAGGGATAGTGGTCATTATTGAAAAGTATGTTGTATAGTTTTCGCAGGAGTTGGATGTAGTTTGGTTAAACCTCTTAACCAAACTACAATAACACAAAATGCAGCAAAATTTTTACCAATATAGAGATGTTAGACATCATTGTAAAGCTTAGATTCTCCACAATTCAACTACCAAGATCATTTTATGGACACAGCGATCCCCAAAGCACAATTAACACAGATATAGCAGCATGTCAAAATGTAAACAAACAAAGCAGCCACAACTACATGCCTTTGAAGGCATCCAGAAGCCATTTTATTAATCTAATCTTTAATTGTTTATACTCCATTCGTCCATAAGGGTCCACAGATTAAAAGTAATTCAGCATTTTACTGATAGAAATATTCCATGATGAGAAAATCACCCATAACATCCGGTTGTTGATGTCAGAAAATTGAGCTGGTCATTGCTTATATGCAGCATCTTGCTAATATTTACTTCTAATACTTATTTCCTCAGTTTTTAGGCTTTGATGTTTAGTATGGTTCTTTACATTGTCTTCTAATCTAAAAGATACAAGTCTCTGCATATTTTTATGATGTGATTTCAGCGAGATATAGTTCCCCAAAACTAACCTCCGGTTCACTTCCTGTCAGCCGGTGATGCGCACTATGATGACCTTTAATTATCTGGTGTTATTGGATAAGACCACGTGTGGTGTTGAGCTTTGTAGCCAATGAAATACTAATAAGAGGTTAATAGCTGCAACTTTCATCAAACAATTAACACCAGCCTCTTCAGCTGAGGAATTTGGGTTAGCGGTTGTCTGGCTATGCTCTCTGGTCAGGCTACAGCAAGCTGGTTGACTATGGTCATGCTTTTTGACACTGGTTGAACAGCAGAAAGCTGGTTAGCAATGGTCAGGCTATCAAGAGACTGGTTGAGTTACAGAGAGCTCTGTTGTGAGAGTTTAATTCGAAAGTTGTCAATGAAGTCCTGTTGCCCATGTCTCATTTGTTCACTGGTAACTTGTCTAACTTGGCAAAGTAGACCTTTGGTCAGTGAATGCTGTTTGGGGCATCCTATTCCATAGAGCAGTCTTTTGAGTCCATGCTGTCAAACTCAAGCAAAGACAAATGCATTTATCAATTGGTAAAATGAATTATATTACAAAATCTCAACAGAACACTGAAAATAAATGTAATCTTCTTGAAGAGGGAAATCAGTTGATGTCCCATCAACTTTGACTAAATATGTGATTATTCATAAACCCATTCAGTTATTGGCCATCACACAACTTTGAACAAGTTTGCTTCTACATAACATCAAAAGTGCAAAACTAGCAAGATATTTCAAAAACCTATTGATAATTTCTTAACGTCACCCATAGGAAGCAAATGTGTTGCTCATCTGTTGTTCTATGTCTTCTCTTGAGATCAGTTTGAGCTTCTATTATTCATGTCATTTTGTTATCATTTGTTTCTGAGTTACTTCTCCTAAGGGCACCTTAGGAGTAAGGGATAAGCTAAAAAGAGACAAGGTATTACAAAGATATGAATTGAGAAAACCATTTGAGCACTACTCAGAAGTAAGATTAGGAAAAACGATCTCACAATTGTATGCATCTGATCTCAATTATGTCTTGGTTGTTTTGAATTGGAATTAAAGAGAAAGAGATAAGATGAATCTGAGAGATCAAATAGTGAGGAGCGAGAGACAGCATGTTTATTTATCATTGAACCATAACTGCAACAGTGGATTCAAGTAAAAATATATAATATATATAAATTGAGAGATATTTGAAATCGACATAACATGTCAAATTTTTCTCTTAGCTGAAATCTGGAAAAGAGAGAGCTGTAAGAGAATTTAGAGAACTGACGCTATTCTCACTGTGAGACTAATTTCTCAGGAGAGAAATTTGAGAAGATGGAGAAAACCACTGTGGTCTCAATCTGTGCTCATTTGTGTCTACAGTTGGAGATCTAATGTGACAAAAAGGAGATCTTCAATTTTGCTTTGCGATAGGCAGGGACTCATTGTTTTAGTATTCCAAAAAAATTCATACCTAACATCCTCAGGAATTTTGTCCTAAAAGGCGTCCTTTTTTCTCAGCAATGACTGTTCTGCAGTCCCTTGATCTGTTCATCTCAAAAGCACTCCAAATGTTTCCACTTTAATGGAGCCTTTTCCTTTTTCTGTTTTGTATTGACAGTTTTTCTTCCATGGAGACTTTGGTAAAAGTATGACATTCTTGTTAAAAGTAAAAATGATTTTTTAATGTGGCCTTAAAAAATTAAAGCAATTATAAATGTAGAAAAGAAAAAGCTTCCAAGCAGAAGTCAAGAAAACCATGTATATAAAATGTATTTAATTTGTCTTTAAAGTATTTAAATAAATGAAAACATCTTATCACGACTTCTACTCTTTAAAGACAAGAGAAAAAATGTATTTGGTATAAATAACACAACCACCAAAACATTTATCATGCAGTACTCTTATATATTGAAATCCATCTTGATATCTAAGATACAATACTCGTAGATATTTAATCCAAAGTTAATTTATGATCATAAGTGTTTTATTTATAGCAGTGATTTAACGGGTTTTATTATTTATTACTAGTACACCTAAAGATGAATTAAGACTACATATTACTTTGTAGATGAACTTCTCAAGTGCTATTCATTTAGCTTCAGGTTTAAATATCTGTAACAGGATTCCAGATAAGATACACAACAAACTAGTATCAACTACTTTTTCTTTAACAAAACACACAACATATGCATTTTACTAAGGGTTACAACAAGGCAAAAATAAAATAAAATACTAAAATCTACCCTTTTAGGAAGATAAATTCTATAAGCTATAACAATAAAAATAAATTTCAGACTGCTTTGACCCCAGGAGTATGTCAAAGATAAAATTAACAATGCGCCAATATCTGCTGGTAACGTCATGTAAGTACTTAACCATAAATTGATCAAGAAGAAAACTTCCATGTTGCTGCGTTGATATTTCATTAAAATGTCCACTTTCTAAATGCTTTACTTCCATATAACAGTGGTCGGATTTATCATTCTTTAACATGAAACAAAAGCTGCTTTGCTATCTGCCTTTTTTAAATAGAATTTATTTCTCTAAGAGTTATCCCATAATCAAAAATGTGCATAGGCAAACAATTTTATTTCTATATTTTTCAGTGTGGCATGCTGCTGTGCTATCCAGTGGCTAGAGGTGCTCTCCAGTCTGTCCTTCACTTTTGTATAGCAAATCATTCCTGTGAAAAATGTAATTCCCCGTCAAAATTAAAACATCCTGTACAAACCACTTTTATTTTTTTGTATTATCAATGGTTACTTTCTTCTATAAAAAAAAAAAAACTAAACTGGGAAAATACATTTTACTAAGTGTGCTTAGCTTGTAAAAAGTGTTTCCTGTTATTATTTACAATAACAGGAAACAATAATAGTCATTCCAAAAAACTTAAGAGTAAAAAAAACAAACCACTGGACTTTGTTTTCCAAGTTTTCCCATCCAGGAAGCTTTTTCATTGCAAAATGTATGGATTAGTGTCGAGTTACAAGCTTTATAGAATAGCCCAACAAAGCCTTGTTATTGTTTAGAAAACAGGCAAATTGAACCGAAAACAGGTCCACCCCTTAGTAATGGGGAGTTGTTGTGGTCATGTTGGCCTGGCTGACTAGGCGAGATGTTTTGTTCCCCTGCATAATGATGGGGGTTGAGATGATAGCAGGAAGGAATCAACTCTATCCCTGCGTCATATGTTTTTGAGATGTGGAACCTGAGTCCACCCCCTCTGTTTAAGGTTGTTTTTTCTCTATTAACATAAATGGTTCACTTTACATCCCTTTCAAAGCGCCTGTCTTCTTTGTCCAAAATTTGAACATTCTGGTCCTCAATTAATTTAAGGCAATATCGTGCTGCCTCCTAAAATATTTTAATCTGACAATTAAACAACTTTCTATGGCTAACGAAACACTGCATACAAGTAAATCCTAATGTACTGTATGATCTCACCTCTTCCTCGATTTTGACATCCATCCACCAAAATCTTTCTGATTCTGAAAACGTTGACGCTGTTCTGGACTTTGATGCAGAGTAGCTCTGCAGGCTGTAGCTCTGTTGCTTGTAGCACAGGAAGAACCTGGCCTGAATTGCCACTTAAGTTCATCACTCACTGCTGCTCCAGAAGGTGTGTTTGATGCTGGCTGTCAGCTTATGATACCACTGATATTTCTGTCAGAGCATTTTCAATATATGAACAATTTAAAATGTTCATTTTCACTATGAGTCACTCTCACTCAACCATTTACTCATGGTAATGTCTGTAAAATCCCGCCTTTACCTTCTCTTTTGCAGCTATCCAATCAGCAACTGAGAATCTAAGTACACTTCCATTTCAAACTCTCTCACACAATATATTAGATTTATTCATACAGACCATCATTTTAACATTAGGCTATCTCTCTTACATTTACCAGTATTCTGTCATTCATTCTTATTTGTTAAATCTATGGAATTAACAAAATTAGCATAATTGTCATTGGCTATATATTTTTTAAAATATTTCAACTACATTAACATTGATTTAACTATACAATAATCCCAAAATTTTAAGCAAAATAATAAAAAATAAAATGTGTTTATCTGAGAGCGGTGGCTAGATTCTTAGAACAAATCAATGCATAGATGTGCCATATTTTCTCCAACTGAATACAAACAAAACTGAGGTAATTATTTCTAGACTAAAGGGGGAAAGGTCCAGAGATATTGGTGTCATGATGCATTAACTCCTGAACGTCTGTTGATATTGATTTTTCTGACTTTTTTTCCCTAGGTTTTCTATTTTTTATTTAGTGTTTACCAGTAAAAAATGTAAAATGTTCACATATATATAAAAAAATTATAATTTTTTCTTTCTCATTTTTGTTTTTCAGAGATGTCAGGTACAGGAGAGGAGATTTCTCAGGTGCACTGGAAGCAGCAGTGGTTGGAAAATGGGACACTGTACTTCCATGTGTCCATGACCGAGCCTGAACTCTTGGCAGAGACGACACAGCCGACAGCTCGGGAGCCAGCTCATGCTTTGCATGAACACATGCACCTTCTTCACATATCAGTTATGGTAAGTTCTAGCCTGAGATATAATGTTGGTATTTTGTGTTTCATATATTGTCAGAATGGATTTAGATGCCTAAGCTAGTGTCTTAGTGTTTATTTGGAAGTTTAATTAGACTGTATACCGTAGCATACAAAAAATATTTTTATATAAAGAAAATCATACCTTTGCAAAAGCAAAATATTTCCAGAGGATGATAGGTGAAGTTTATTGCAAAGATTAATTCTCCCTCTGAATTTTAAAAATGTCTCAATTGACACAGGCACTGATCCAGAGCAAGCCATGGTAATTTCTGCAATTATTCTGCATTCTAGAATTGTGAAAAAATCCTGTGAGACAGAATACCTAAAGAAGAAAAAAAAAACATTTTAGCTTGGCAATATACACTAGCAGCCATTCAAAATGGCCCTTCCCAGTCTAACGCCAGCCGAATGGCAGCCCACTTCCCTGCAACTCCCAACAAAATCTCCTCCGACTTCCAGCCACCTGAGTGACCCCCCTCTTGCATATTTTTTTTTATTCTGACTCCACTTTTTCTCTGAATTACAGGGTCTGACCGGGAGATGATAAACAAAAAGAGCATTTTAGTGCAAAGATTGATGTTAATACAGGAATTGTAGGGGACCAGCCAAGGGCCTTTCAAGGAAAGTGGGGATATTTTGAATGGCTAATACTGTACTTCTTATATTTCAATCTTTAGTTTATTATTTACACAATACCTTGTTTTATCCTTGACTGCTCTCAAAAGTATCTTGACTTCAAATTGCCTGTCTATATAGTTTTAACTTTGATAGACATCAATTAAAGGTTAAAGGGGTTCACAAAAAATATCAAATATAGCTTTTTCTTCTGGATTTGTTTTAACAGGATATCAGCAATCTTTGTTGTTATTTTAGAAAGACAAGCCATTTCTCTTTCATCCATGTCATGGATTTATTTAAAACCCATCACAACAAAAATGCAGTGTTAAAAGAGGTGCTTCAGTATTGAAGGTTTTGAAAGCAGCATTTGTTGTTGCTGTTTAGATACTTCATGCCTCATGAAAGGTCTGTATTTAAAATTATTAAAGTGGCAATTAGTTATTTAGATAATTGACATCTCTTAAGATTATTTTAAGTGAGGTGTTGAAGTAGGTGGTGCTTGTGAAGAGGTTGGAGAGACTTTTATTGGCTCAAAGACAAAGTTAGGTGTGGGTACGCAGGTTAAGATCGTCAATGTCAGAGCAGAGTTTTTATCATGAATTATTTCATGCTTATGAGAAGTCGTTAAGGTATTTAAGCATTATCTATCTGAATTTTGAATATTAGAATATTTTTCAGATTAAAAAAAAAAATATATTATTAAAGCCATTAGTTTGTTCGTAAAGGTATTTTTTTTATCTTTTGCAGCAGAGGTATAAGTATTTGCTTCAGGAAGATCACTAATATTACAGAGCATAAGCTGTTCCTCCTGCATTTATTTCCCAAAAACCAGAAGTCACCTAAGTTCTAATTAAAGGATTAACAAAGTATAATTATTAATAATATATAATATAGCAAAAGGTTATTAGAAACATATTGTGTTGAACTTTATTAACACCACCCCTTCCAATTTTTTTTTTAAATTCATACTTACATCCAGCTTTCTCTTTATTCCATGACAGTTTTTCATAAACTCCCTATAATAACATCTCATATCTGTGCATTTAAATTACCAGTTGACTTGTCAAGTTCCTGTAAGTCCTTCTCACTTCCTCTTGGGCTCCGACTCTGAGACAAACGTAGCCTCGTAAACTTGAGCCTACTTTACAGGTCTTGTGAAACCCTTTTTGCTGCGCGGACAGAAATCTCTGACCTGTTCCGATTTGTCTTCTTCCCAAAGCCACATCTTTTTTCAACAAGTGAGTTAGATAGTCCAGCATCCATTCTTTTTTTAATTCTTATTTCACTTTCTTTGTTAAACAACCATGTTCTCTTGCAATAGTTGTTTTATTTAGGTCAAACATTTTTAGTAACTAGCCTAGTACCAAGAATGTTGTTTTAAAAGGTTTGGCTACAGGAAACCCACCAAGACCTCCACGTATACTTAAGAACCAACCCCATATATTAATTTTATGCCACTAAAGAACGTGACAAATGTGACCCAAAAATCCATTGTCCACATTCTTATATACATTTTAAAATGTTTTATTAGTAGGCTTTGGCAGGTAATCTATACAGCAGCACTAAGGCAAGGTTAGAAAAATCAATAATCCAATTATTACACTATTCTAGGACTATATATACTGACTGAGAGGCACCCACTCAAATTGAGAAACAAACAGTTTTTTCTTTTGCTGAACATGAAACTGCTTGTTGTATTTTAAAGCTTGAACAAACTTTAAAATTCCTTTACCTTCTCTTAGTGGAAAAGACCGAACGCAAATTTCACAGCTTGAACAAAGAATTTCCATGTTATCTCTATCTAGACGGCGGAAAATGGAGTGAAGCTGAGCGAAACAACAATGGTTAATTTAGGGAGGTGAACCGCATAATTTTGGTGAAGTTGGTGACATTTAATCGGCTCCTAACTGAACTTTTGTTTACATTCCAGTCACAAAATCTAATTAGAGACTGGATGCGGTTGTGAGCTAGAGTTAATACCCATAGTCCATACGTATGCGCAAGATATCAGATGTGCATTTATCCCTTTAGTTTTGTACGAAAAATAGACTAAACCACCTCAACTGGCGTGTATCCCTTTAGTCAAGTACAGAAAAAACAATTTAAGGTCAGATCGCCATATGCTTCAAAAAACACCCAAAATTTAATTATTTATTTATTTATTTATTTTTTTTTTTTTAACCATAGGTTACCAGCCTGGGCATTTCCATGCTAATTCATGTGTCATGTGTCAGCTACTACACAAGTTTAAACTCAGCTTTCTATTTATCTTAGTCATACTTTAATTGTTGAGAAGACAGACATATAAGCAGGAAGAACAGGACAGGGAAAATAAATGGAGGCACTCAAAACTGGACAGAAAAAGAAATCCTGGTTTGGCTTGATAGCTGAGAGGTGTCTACGGGCTCCACTTGTGAGCAAGGGGAGCAACAGTTGTTCGCTGAGAACAAAGGAAGGATGTATATAAAAAAATAAAATAAAATATGGCTCTTTACATAGAGATCAGAGCAGTGTCTATTAAAACCGTTTTTATGATACATTTCTTTAATCTGTTTGATGGTATGTAAACAGTAGCGCATACTTTAAGTTAACTAGGTATACACAGAGCTACAGTATATTGCATAGTCCTGATGTTTTCTAAAGGTGAAGTTTGTGTACTGTATATCCAACTATAGTGCCAGATTGATATGTCACATTTTTGGTATTTCTTTACAGAAAGTTTAATTTTAAGTGTAAAAGTTAAAACTGACCGCTCCAGAAGTTACTCGAAAATACATAAAATATTTCTGAAATCTACTCTATCTCGTATATCTTTCTTGTTCACAGTGGAGAGCTGTTGTCTAGTGGTAGATCTGGGTAATCACCTGCCAAATCAAACTTTATTGGTAGAATCTCAATAATCCAGTACATGATAATAAGTAGAAGGTAACTGGTCCTCTTTTGATGTTGCTTGAAAACATTTTTTATAAGTGAAACATCTATACAGTGTTATACACAGATTTTTAGGGCACCATTAAATAAAAAAAAAGGCAATTATATTGTTAAAGTTTGGTCAGTAAGGAATAATGAATGGATCATTATCCATTGGATCGTTTTATTATTAAAACTAATACAATCTGTGTGATTTAATGAATTTAACATAAAATTGTAAAAAAAAAAAAAAAAAAAAAATAGTTATTTTCGTTGCGATCACTGAGTCAGTGAGCGGCCATTTTTGCCCGAATTTAGTAACACTTCACCCCTGATATCTTCCGGCAGTGACGTCACGGTGCGGTAAGCTAAGCGCCATTCTCCCTACTTTACAAACAAAATCAATGGGAACTACTATACACGCCCTCAACCAACAACAATTATTTTAGGTTTTCAGAGGCCTTCACCATTGAAATTCGCGAGAGCTATAGTTAAACTGACAATGCCCATGTGCATGGCAGTTGGATGTTGTAATACATCGGGTAAAAGTGAAAAAAAAATGTGTTAATACACCTTTCCGATTCATGTTCCACCATGGGTTCGTCGTTGGATTGCCAACTTAAAGACAGAGGATTTGCCATCAAACTTCTGGCCAGAGCAAAAACACGTAATATGTTGACAATATTTCGAAGAAGAATGTTTTCAAGATGACTTGGATAATAATACACGTAGTAACAAACACCAGATAGAGCATTGGGACTTGCTCAACAGCCGATACTGCACCGTGACATCACAAACTGGTAGCTGGCAGTACTGTTTTTTTACAAACATGGATGCCTCCAGTACATTTATATGAAAATTGCTCTTAGTTAAAAACAGTTAGCATTTATTGAACAGTATGTAATAATTTTGAATTTAAATTACTTTCAGAAGTTTGAATTCCGAATATGACTGGACTTTTCCTTTAAACTCCCAGAGTAATTCCGGTGCAAGGCTTATGCCGTCACTGTTGAGATTAATTAAAAGTATCACAGTAACACCATTTCCTTACTCTTATTGGTGTCTGCATCCGTGCATGAACCCTTTTAGAGCCTTTATCACTCCTGTGGTCTGAGATTGTCCAATGGGTTACATGTTATGCATAAATGCAAAACCTTGGTAAGTTTTAACCGCATATTCTTTATATGTCTGTTATGGAATGTGTGATCTGTTCTGCAATTATCTGTTGGGGTAGCAGCATAAGACCAATTGATAAGATGGGCTCTGCAAGTTATTAAAACAGGTTCTTTTCTAGGAACTCCTCTGGAACCTGTTGAGAAGATATCACACAGAAGAATTCTCAATAAAATTAAGAAATTACAGACAACCCTAGGTTTTCTCTTCATTAGACTGGGATGAAACGGAGTTTCTTCAGTCATGGGAGTTTTTCAGGTTGGCTGTGGGGCAGACCGCTAC